AACAAAAGACAGTACACTTGCTAAATGACTGTAACTTCAAGAAAAGGGTAAAGGAGGCCAAATATATTGTGATGGAAGATGATTTGACTTCGGGTACACAATGCCATATGCAGATCATGTATCATAGAAATGTACACTTGAAACCTATACGACCCCATTGACCAGTGTCACCTCAATAAATTTAAACAAACAAACAAATGAATTAATTAATTAAGAAGTATCCTCAACCCCGGCCTACCCCACCCCGCCCTGCCAACATACAGAAACTGCCCTCCTTACCTATTTCTTTTTTTTTTTACATGCAATAAACATTAATATTTCAAGAAAAACTATTTTAAGTGTAATAATGGTACATGCAATAATCCAGGCTCTATGTGGTCTCTACTTTCGGTCCTCGGGTGTCAGGGTTCTTTCCTGCGAGTTTTCCACTGATTATTCAGGAAGTTTTTCTCATGTCTTTCCTTTTATTAATATTATGTCATATATGGCAAAACACCAGCCATAATCCTATTCATTTTCTGAAGCCATCCTTACCTATTTCTTAAATTTACTTGTGCTATCAGTTCCCTCTAAATCGAGTTCTTGGGAAAACCATTAAGAACTGATGCTATGAGTGTTTAAAATATATATTCATTTAGAAGTTTTCCTTCAATACCAAGTTTGAAATTGTAATGTCTAAATAATTGACAGTAGTCCACACTCCTTATTCAAAGAAAATTCACAAACAAAATAGAATTTTCGTTTTGACTGGTGCCCCACTAGAGATTAAACAAGGTAGCTATGACAAAACTGCTTTGTTTCCTGCAATATAAGGGATAGACTTTAACACTTAGAAATGCCCAGAGCATGATATGAAGCTAGGAGAGCCCCACGGAAGTTACAAGCTCTTGTGATTATTTCCTGAACCAAGCACCTAAGGTTCTCAGTGGTACCTTTTTTGTTGGAAAAGCTTATTTCCCCTGATCCAATAGCTGTAACTTTTTAAGGGATTTCACAGAACTCAAGATTCTCAAGCCAAAGCCACTCTTTATACCATCCCCCAAATGTTTACAAAATGAAGCACTCTCAATCTTAAGTATATTTTGTTGGTAAACACTTTATTTGTTCTGACGACTATACTACCAACAACAAAAGCAGCCTTTTAAACAAAGTAGCTCAAATAAAACCACACACAGATATAACACAACACATTCTTAACACCCAGAGCGTGTCCACAAAGCAGGAAAGCCAGGATTCAAATTCCTTGGCACCTACTCACTGAGCTCCTGTAGGCACCACCCAAGGACATGACCCACCACACCCTCTTCACTATCACACCTCCTCACTAATTTATACTTCTGAAAACCCACAGAACCTGACTTACCAGATGGTAACAGAATGTTACAAATATTGGACAAATGGCTCCCACCCTATTCCTCTATCAGGTCAGCCAGCTGATCCTGTTTATAGAACAACTCCATCCCAGATGAGAGCACTATTGTCTAGCTTTTGTACCCAAGTGGTGCCCCAGGAGCCATTGGTGGCCTAGCAAAAGCCTCTAGTTATCTTTGTCTTGGTCTCTCTCCCTGTTCTCCTGTCATACACCTCCTGGGAAAGTTACTAGTATCTGGGCCAAGGATAATACAATGGAGAGAAATCTAGAAATGTCTGGTCTGGGGTAATAAGAATTGTATTAAGAATTATAGGGAACCCTGGCCAGGTAGCTCAGTTGGTTAGAGCATCATCCCAATACACCAAGATTTCGGGATCAATCCCCATACAAGAATCAACCTATGAATGCATAAGTAAGTAGAACAACAAAATCAATGTTCCTCTCTCTCTCTAAAAATCAATGTTAAAAAAAAAGAATTGGGGGTGGGAGGGAGGGAAACCTCTGTGGGTGAATGTATTCCAAAAGCAGATAGTCGCAAAATATGTACATTTCAAACACATGAAAGGCCTTTTATACTTCAAGTCACATGCTACACAGGAATTACGACTTATGCCAAGATGCAACTGCTTGACAGGAAGCTATGAGGAATATTACAGTTGCTGACAGAACTATCAGTGGAAAGGATACAGATATTGGATCTCTAATCATGGCTCAACTACTTAATATTGATTCTGCAAATATTTATTAAGTACCTACATGGACAAGCACTGATTTAAATGCTGGAGGGACAGGGATAGACAAGACACAGACCCTGCTCTCAAAGACCTTAGAAGAGTGAGGAAAAATACCCATATCTTGGAATCGGTGTCAGAATTATAGAGAGGCAGAAAGTAAACAGATAATTAAAAGAAATTTTTGTTTCAGTCAATGATAATCTAGGGCAAAAATAAAGAGTAAGTGATATCTGATCCCATTTCCCCATGAGAAAGGATCTACCTACTTAAAATGAGTTGATGAATGTCAATCACCCAGCACATAGCATCCCCACGCATTCACCTGCACACAAATGCACATGCATAAACTCTCACAGATACACACTCCCTCCTCCCCCGCCCCCTTCTGCTTAACAGCAATATCTGGGAGAATACACCTTGGTATAAAATGAAAGCAGAAGGGAAACAAAATATTTGTGTAATCAATTACACTTAATGAAATCAAGTTGCAAATAACTGCATTCAAAAAAGGCAAAACCTAAACAATTGGAACATAAAAGAACAAAAAGAAGTCAAAATACTGTAACAGTATTAGAAATAATATAAATGGTGCCCTAGCTGGTTTGGCTCAGTGGATAGAGCATTGGCCTGTGGACCAAAGATTCCAGGGTTTGATTCTGCTCAAGGGCACGAACCTTGGTTGCGGGCTCTTCCCTGACCCGAGCCCTGGTCACATCAATGTTTCTCTCTGTCTTTCCCTCTCTCTTCCACTCTCCCTAAAAATATCAATGGGAAAATATATCCTTGGGTGAGAATTAACAAAAAATAAAAATAAATAAAATAATATAAATAGTAACATAGCTGCCTTGCACACTTTGAAGACTTGCCATGTATAGCCAGGTTATTTTGCCATCCAAGTGACGCTTCGAGATATTAACCCAAATGCCACAGTGGTAGAAGCTTGGTTTAAACATTCATCTCCATCTTTCTTTAAGAAAAATAAAAGACAATGACCAAGTCCTTAGAGTCACAGGATTTTATGCCTAGAATCAACTTTAAGAAACCTGCTGTACCTTCTCTCCACATCACTCATGACTGAGGTCCCCAGAGGTAAAGGGTTTAACCCCAGAGCGGGTAGCCAGTAATGACAGAGCTGGTAGGGCCCAGGGCAGGCTCCCTAGATCCCAGCCCAGCATGCCTCACTCTCAAGTGCCTGCATCCTCTAGGCAGGCTTTTAGCTTTTATCAGAACCACAAGGGATGGCAGTGACTTCCAGAATTCAATTTCAGTTAACACTTGTCCATAAAAACTTCCCAGTTAGTGGCACCTAGGCCACACTGAGGACCTTTGCTGGTGGCCAGAGAGCTCCCACATTGGGAAAGCTCCCTCCAACGCTGTAATTCACGGGACTAGGAAAAAGAAGTAGCTAGCCTGAAAGGGGAAAGATCTCTCAATTGCAATTTTCAGAATTTGCCTCAGGAAAAAGGCTCCAAACAATTATTTCTGGGGAGGGACGAGGTACGGGCAATCTGAGAGAAAAAGTGGCTAAGAACTGTGTCCAAGCTCTTTACACGAAAATGGAGCGAGCCCAGGGCTGTGAAACCGGTGAAGAGCAGAGAGCAGCTGGGCCCAGGGCGAGCATTTGACCACACTCACTGGCCACTCCCTCCCAGCTGCCCGCAGAGCCACATCGAATTGAAACAGCAGTGCGAGCAGTTAAGATTCCGACGGCAGGAGTCGCCATGGCAACGGGATTCATCTTGCGGACAAACTCCGCTTCCATTCACTAGGTCCTTCTGGAGCCTCAAGAAACTACCAGCTTCGCGATAGCACAACGGTCACGGGTGGCATTTGCTCTTGGATGGTCACCTGGGGGTGATGGGGGGCAAAGAGGGGCACGGTTGGGGAAAGTGGGACGTGGGCATCTTATTCCTGGGCCCAGAACACACAACCTCAGGCTGCGAGCAGCTTGAGAACAGAGCCATTAGCAGGGTTTGATCAGCGAGTGGGCAAACGAAAGAATAAGCGTGCTGGGAACCGCAAAGGAAACCCAGGGGACGGTACGGAGTCCTCGGGCCGCGCGCACGTCTTCCATCAGAAGGCAAGCGGATCACAAGTCAGAATTCTCGGTCCCAGGTGGGAAAAGCCGTTACCAAGCCCTCCTCCCCGACAGAGCCTTATCGTTAGATTATGCGACTCCCCCCAATGCTTTACCACCTCCCACCCGGGGCTCCGGGCAGACGCTTCACCCCAGTTCAGGTGCTCTTCGTGGAGGTGGATCACAAGTCGTAGAATTCTCGGCCCCAGGTGGGAAAAGCCGGTTATCGAGCCCTCCTCCCGGACAGAGAGCCTTATCGTTAGATTATGCGACACCCCCCAATGCTTTACCACCTCCCACCCGGGGCTCCGCACGACTCTGCCTGGATTGCAGTTCTCCCATCCCTTCCACTAAGGGAAGGTGCCCGGGGTGGCGGGGGCTCCGCGCGGAGTCCCTCCTTCCCTGTCGCCACCTCCGATTCCCCCTCAGGATTCTCCCTCTAGGAGCCTCCCCTCCCGGCCAGCAGCTCCCGACAGCGGCAGTGCCCGCAGCCCAGGCCACGACCCCCGGAATCCCAGCCCCCGGTGACTGCGGGAAGAAGGCTGTACCGGGTACCCCGCCGGCGCTCGAGGCATCCGAGCGCCTCTGAAAGAAAGGAGGGAGGGACCCTCATCTTCTGGGGCGCCTTCCTCTGGGCTCGCCTCTCTTTGCGCCGTGCTTGCAGCCATTTTCCCAAATCCAGCTTGGCAGCCGGGAGCTATCTAGGTCCTGTTCCCACCCAGACCCAACCTGAAGGACGGGTTTAATATTTACCTACTGGTCCGCGAGCTCGGGGGAGGCAGCCGGAGGGTGCGCCGCGAAGCCAGCGCCCGACCCGAAGAAGGGCGCCCACCCCCCCGCCACCGCGCAGTGCCACTTCATGAATGAATGCGGCGGGCGAGGCGGCACGTCCCCCCTTACCTGAGCAGCCCCTGCATGCTGGAAAGGCGGCTCTGCGCTCCGGGTACAATGGGATCCGGTTAAACAGTTTCCTTCACAGCCGCTCGTAGGTTACCAACTCGCAGGTGACATCACTCCCTCCTCCGCTGATAGGATGCAATGTGGCGCCCACTGCGCATGGACTTCCCTTTCGGCCCCACAGACTCCTGGGAGTTGCAGTCCAAATCTCCCAAGAAGTACCTGGGTAGCTATGCTACTGGGGCTAGCAGAACTACACTTCCCGGCGCATTCCTCGGCCTCTTTGTCTCCGCCCCTAGTCCCGCCCCCAGAGGGACCCGCCCCCTCCCCGCCCTCCAGCCTTGCAGTGGTAGCGGTGGCCGTGCAGAAGCTAAATTGCGGACAGCGCGGGCGGGGGGCATCCTGCGGTCGTGCTCTTTGACTTGACCTCCACTCGGCCGGTGGGGGCTCTGAGGGCCCCAAATGCTCCGGGCTAGTGCGCATCGGCCAGGCAGCTCCGACCAGCCCTGCCCAGCTGGAAACAGAAGATTAAGTCTTTCACTGCCTTCCCTTCGCGTAGCAACTAATTAATAGAACGCATGGGTTTCTGGGTTAAAGGCAGTCCTGGAATTCCCCCACGTCCCCGAGGATGAGGCGAAGCCCACCCCGAAGGAGAGGAATAAATCCCCGCGTGCCCCCACTTGGTACAATTTATCTTTCTGTCTTCTCTTTCCTTCTCCCGTTTAACGGAGTTCGCGGGGAACAGCTTAGTTGGCTGAGCTGACAGAATAACGGAGGTTGTCACTAATAAAAATGCAGTGTAATAGACAAGACAGTCGCCGCAGCCCTCCCTCGGGGAGCCTGCTGCTGCTGCTGCAGAGATAATGCTATCGCGCAGCCATGCTTTTGTTCTTCCCTGCAGCAGACTTCCCGCTCTGATGGCTTTCAACTCCCAGGAAGACATCTTTTTCTAAAAGTTTTAATATATGACATATATGCATACACACTTACTTTTAAGTCATTAACACTGTACCCCCATTTTCCATACTTTTAGCTTCAAATATTTTTAAATGATCTAAAGCAAACGACATGCTGTTCAAGAATTGCCCTGATCTTAATATACCTAAATGGTAAAGGTGTGTATCAGAATTCTGAACCTTCAGGAGGATTTTATTTTTAATATGTAAAATATTTCCGTGGCATTTTTCATTCAATGAATGCCAAATATGAAAAAATATATATAACATTGACAGCAATCGCAAGGTGTCTTTTTAACTGGAAAAACAAACACCCCAATGCATCTACTTATTTCAGTTGTAAAAATAGGGTACATTACAACCACATTTGATGTTGAAATCACATATACGGATCAGCTCACACCCCATTTCCACTAGCAAAATCTCTAGAATACTGTATGTCTTGTGAAGTTCACAATTACTATTTTAAACAACTCTCCACCTAATTTTGGTGGGAATCTTATCACTTATTATCTCATTTCATTGTGCAACAATAACTTGGGTTCAAGAGAAAAATATTCATGAAGCTAGTTGCAGATCTCAGAGGAGAGGAAAATGCTTTGTTCTGCTGAGAGAGGTGCTTTAGGGCTGAGTTCTGGCTTTCTTTTAACAAGCCTATTGCTTATGTACCAGACACATTTTTTCTCCACTGAAGGAAGATAACTTTGAATGTTGCTCTCCTGTTCTGAACTATTCTGTCCATTCCAAATATTGTCTTAAATAGAACCCAGACAATACAAATGTTCCACTGGCCATCAGATCAAGAGTACAATCAGTGATATTCTAGCTAATGGTAGGCTTAGTCGGCTTAATGTATTGCAGTTCATTGTGAAAAAGTATTCAGAAAGAAACTTGACGTGGGATGATTCTAAAAGCTCTCCCAGTTTTATAACTGTGTAAAACTTTTAGATGGAAATATAATCAGTGAGCCTGGATTTACTTAGATTGAATGTAGAGATTCTCCATAAGGCAGGACTTATCCTTACAGATAAAAGTATATTAATAAAGCACACTGAGGGGTAACTTTATAGAACAAAATCACCTTACAGCAAATTATCTTGGGTTTTTAGCAGTAAATGAGAGAATGGAGTCTGCCTGGAAAAAATAGTCTACTCTTTATAGCAATTAATATAGGGATGTGCCATGTTACATATGTAAAGGTCATCGTGCACAATAGAGTATAAGCACAGGAATGTGGGGCTGTGCATGTGTGAGCTCTACTTCCTATGAAATAGATATAAATATAGATAATAAGTAATGAAAGCAAGACATCGTGTTTGGAAGCATTTTGCTGTAAGTGTAATGGATTTGAACGGATCCCTGCACACTGTTTCACTGGTAACCAGGGGAAACAAAGATGGCTCTTCAGCATCAAAAATGCAGTCTGAGATCCTGAGACCAGAAGCTTAACTCCTATGGAGATAGAAGGGATCTTTCTCTCCTCCTCTCTCCTCTCTCCAGCCCAGCTGGGTCACTCAGTGGTTGAGCGTCGACCTATGAACCAAGAGGTCATGGTTCGATTCCTGGTCAGGACACATGCAGCCGATCGGTGATTCTTTTTCATTATTGATGTTTCTATCTGTCTCTCCCTCTTCCTTCCTCTCTGAAATCAATAAAAATGTATTTAGAAATATCCACTCTATTAATTTATATTCCCAGTCAATGGGTTTCTTTACTTTTTCCTTCTCTTTTTAAACAACTGCTGCTATTCTAGAATGATCTTTTGAAAGGCCTTGTCTTGTTCCACAATCATTGCCTACTAATTAGGAAGCTGTGGGACCACTGAAGACATATTTCATTGACCTTTTAGAGGTAGAGGGAGCGGGAAGGGGCAGGGAAGGGGGAAGACACAGGGTATTTTGCTGATCTTTCAAAGTATAGCCCAGCTGGGTTGCTCAGTGGTTGAGCATCGACCTATGAACCAAGAGGTCATGGTTCGATTCCTGGTCAGGACACATGCAGCCGATCGGTGATTCTTTTTCATTATTGATGTTTCTATCTGTCTCTCCCTCTTCCTTCCTCTCTGAAATCAATAAAAATGTATTTAGAAATATCCACTCTATTAATTTATATTCCCAGTCAATGGGTTTCTTTACTTTTTTCTTCTCTTTTTAAACAACTGCTGCTATTCTAGAATGATCTTTTGAAAGGCCTTGTCTTGTCCCACAATCATTGCCTACTAATTAGGAAGCTGTGGGACCACTGAAGACATATTTCATTGACCTTTTAGAGGTAGAGGGAGCGGGAAGGGGCAGGGAAGGGGGAAGACACAGGGTATTTTGCTGATCTTTCAAAGTAATCTCTTAGTTCTGGCTACAAGGTTTCACTCTAGATGTTGGGTTTTAGATAAGGGAGGAAATGAGATATGAACAGAGAAAGAATTTTAAGTTTGTAGCCTTGCATGTGTTTTCACACAATGGCTTGGTGTTTTGCAACAATTGAGGTTGTGTGCTGAGCCCAGGTTTGGGATCATGCTGTTTGTCCCTTTTGAGCAGTGTGACTTGGCTTGTTCTGGGTGGCTTATTCTCTCTGAGCCTTGGTTTCCTTATTTAAAGAATGAGGCTGCCCTAGCCGGTTTGGCTCAGTGGATGGAGCATCGGCCTGCAGACTGAAGGGTCCTGAGTTTGATTCCGGTTAAGGGCACGTGCCTGGTTGGTTTGTGGGCTCAATCCCCAGTGCTGGGCATAAAGGAGGCAGCCGATCAATGATTCTCTCTCATCATTGATGTTTCTTTCTCTCTCTCCCTCTCCCTTCCTCTCTGAAATCAATAAAAATATTAGAAAAAAAAAGAATGGGGCTAATAATAAAACCTACTTCTCAAGGTTTGTGAGGATTAAATTAGATGAGACAAATTGAAAGGAACTATACAAATGCTAGTTCTTGTTATCATTTGCAATGTTCCCCTAGAGATCATCTCAGAAATGTCCACCCTAATTATGGAACAAGTTAATAAAAAACATATTTACATTTCTAAAAAAATCTTATTCTTGCTCTGGCCAGTGTGGCTCATTTGGTTGAGGGAGGCTCCATGCACCGAAAGATGGCTGGTTGGATTCCAGTCAGGGCACATACCTGGTCGTGGTGTGTACGGGAAGCAACCGATCAATGTTTCTGTCTCACATGGATGTTTCTCTCTTTCTCTCCCTCTCCCTTCCTCTCTCTCTAAAATCAATAACATGTTTTTTAAAAAAATCTCATTCTTAACAAGAAACTGAGAAATGCTTTTAAAAAAATCTCATTCTTAACAAGAAACTGAGAAATTATACATGTGTGCATATTATCTCACTAACTTGTAAGTAGGCAAAATATACTTTGAAGAAAAAATGAGAAATCCAAATTGAACAGTGCTAGTTCTTGGCTAGTTTTCAGATCACACTTTGTCCTTCTGCAGTGCCCCAAATTGTCCTCAGTATCACAAGCCATCTCTCCCAAGCTTCCCAGCACAGAGAAGACTGCTGGGAGATTGGGGGCAGGAGAAAGGGGGAAGCCAGAGTATTTCTCCACCTCCACAGAGTTGCTCTGGGTGAAGTTTCTGGCAGCCTGAGCAGCATTTCCTCTGTTGGACTCCTCTGTTGTGGTCCCAGCTTCTTCCAGATTGCCCCAGCTTCTGTTCTCCTTTTGTCCCTCCAGACTAAGGGTGGTGATAGCTTCCTGTTGTGACTAATCTCTCATTGCCTGTTTGTCTTAGACCTCCTAAGACAATGCCCTGTACTATATTACAACTGTTTCAGAGACTTAGAATGGTTTTTGTTTTCGTGGTGGAACACTTAACTGATATACCCTTGTCTT